CAAAAATACAGTTAAATGAAAAAGTATAAATTAGTAATTTGCACAAAATTTTCACTCAAAAGAAACACATACAACCACGTACGAACAAATACATAGAGAGTTGTATAATCACGAATGTAAATGTCCTCTGTGCAAGTGTACGTATCTGCATTCCATAACAAAGTTTTGAGTGTAAATTGCACCATCAACACATCAATACCCTTTGAGTTCCACTAAACAAAAATGTAACAAATAAATGACGTGATAATAAAGTGGAAAAATGAGGGCGGGGTAATGGGGCAGATCAGCAATCTTAATATCCAGTTGAAAAATTGGCAATTTAATGGGCCTTAAAGAATAATATCAATCGGTTATCCCATACAAATCTTTTCCAAAGTAACCAGATATTATCTGAGTAGTCTCTCAACTGGTGGTTTGTGAAAGTTTTCCCTTTCCTGTGGTCTTCTTAATCTACAGGATTTCGTAACCAAATGCTTTCAGTGAATCAAAGCACCATTAAAACTCACCAAAAAGAATTTTTTTTTTTTTTTTTTTGAGAATACCACAAAAGAAAACCCATCAAAATTTTCATAGTACTTACAAGATAATTGTCTGTGTCAACACTGTCAGCTAAATCCACAAAGTTTGTCAGTCAATCCATGATATAGAGATTTGTGGTCAAAGAAAAATATAATTTTCTTCTAACCAAACAAAGAATCGTATTCTGTTTATGTTATTAGGCATATTAAATTTTCCACAATTGGGAAATTAAAGTAAATATATTCTTACATGCAGCGCGGGGTAATGTTTAATTATTTGAACAAGAGCAATGTAACTGGACTCTTTAGGCGGCCTATATAATATGTCCAATTCTGGCCTATTAAGCTTCGGATAGACCCAAATCTTGTCAGTTGAGGTTCATGTAAAAAGGAAACCTAAAGCCTGCAGAACTCTAAGCTGGGCATCATCTGCAAATGGAATAGTGCTCCTAGTTTGGAAGAGAAAGATATACAGAAACAAGCACCGAAAAAATTCAGATGAAGAAAGAAGATACGGATCTGTAGGATTGACTGTCATGCATATGTCATGTAATTAGATGTATATTGTGCATCTGTACATGGGTGATTTTGTGTCATGAGAATAATTTTTTGTTTTCTATATTTAGAAAAAGATCTACTATTATAGACATTGTAATTAAAAAGGATAATTAAGAAAGAGAACCCTTTTATTATCAAAAGAAAATCATAGTATTCAGTTTCAATATTATTAACTTAAAATAAGTCAAAGATTTAGCTAAGGGATCTTTCAAGTTTTTATGGAACTCAGAATGGGTTACAGCTAGAATACAGCGGCCAAATCCATGTTAATCACCAGAACTACAGTATAAATTTCGACTAGTACCTTAAACAATATCAGATGAAGAATACCCTTGAATTAATTATAGGTTAACACCCACGCATAGGAAGTTACAAGTGTTATTCATGCGTAGTTGCTAGATTTTTTGCAAAGAATCACTTCAGTAAAATCATCTATGATTTAGAGTATGGGAGCTTGAGAACAAAACTTTTTGAGTATCTGGTTAAGTCTATACGCACCTGCAGCCATGCACGAACAGTACTCTGCATAACATCTTGAATTGTGAATAAACGACTGCGAGCTGCTTCTTGCTCTTCAATCATTTCCCTTGTACTCTTTCTTATTCCTTCTAGCAAGAATCTTGTTGAATTCCCTCTCAAATGTTGAAGCAGCTCAAACACAATCTCCTCTCTGGCATGAAGGGACCATTTCACTCTTATAACCTACAGAGTTGGGCAAATAGATGAATCCAAAAATAGGGAAATTCTCACAAGGCAAATCACCTCCAGAGAAGGAAAATCTCAAAAAGATCATATCTTCTGGAAGACCTTACAGTACCATAAACTGGTAAGACCTGTTGACTTCATTTATTTCAAGAATGATTTTCCTATTGAGTGAATAAGGAGCTATCTAATTAACCAATTTCCCTATTAAGAAACTTCATTTAGCATCAACATTTAACAAACACATTATACATAATACGCCTATATCAAATTGATGCTTTTTTTTCCCAGGAGAAAAGGAGATTTGTATTGAATAGGTACCAAAGGGCTCTCCTGACAAGTGACCTCTATGCAGAAAACTCAAGGTCTGAAACCACAATTGACGCTTTATATATGCATATATCCAACATTACTTCTTTATTAACAATTCCATGAGACAAGGGGAGAAAAATAAAAGCGGTGTTGCACTCTCAGAATCAACATTTATTTTGAATTTCACGAGCAAGAAAGTCTAATTAGCTTTGATTTTCATAACTGCACTTCCACTTCAATCTCCTTTACATGCATCAAATTATGGCAAAGCTCTATAATATAATATTTCACATTATATTTGTGTGTCTCAAAAATGAACCATGGTGAATCGGTGAATATCAACATACACCAATTATGAATCTAAGGCTCTGTTTGGATACATGAAGATGCTTTCTATTTTTTTTTTAACATAAATTTATATGTATTTCACTCAAAGAACTATACAATTTAGTTAACAATAGTAAAAATGATAATAAGATAAGAAAATATTAAAATGTTGCTTCTAGTATTCTACTAAGAAACTATTTGTTTATGCTTTGGTTATTCCACAAACGTGCAACTCGTAATACTTCTATGAATAAAAAAATGCATAACCACATATGACTTTAGAAAATGAAAAGTAAAAAATACTTTTCCGTACCAAATAGAGCTTAGATATTTCTACTAGTTTTTAATTTACTTCAATCTTTAGTCCTTATAGGTCAAGGCTTAAACCTTTTAAGACAAGTCCAAATATCCACATCTAGTTTTAAGACTCTTATTGACCAAGCCCCATATCTTTGATTGTGAAAAATTGTCAAGTTGGATACATAGATCCATGTCTGTATCAGGGAGCCATACCTGAGTCTAAACAACATAAATAAAATGTACCTCTACCAATATTTTAAAAAAATATTGTTAGGAGCTTCTGAGCTACCTCATCAATTGCTAAACATTTCACTGAAATTCTTAAGCTCTTTGGGGATTTAGATGCTCCCTTCAACCAAAATTTAAGGAAAGTCGTGCACTCTATGAAAAGACAGGCTCAGTCAAAAGGACCACCATCTTCAGCATAGTTTTGGTCACTAACCTTATTAGTCTCATGGAGATCAGGCACAAACTTGTTTTATAATATAAGTCCAACCTCATACCAAGCATAACTAACCTGGGTTGATAGCCTTCTGATTTCTTGGTTCAAAATCAAAGTGAAAAGCTGCAAATCTTCCTGATTTCTCCTATTCACAAGTGAAAATTATTTGTTGGTGTGCATAGCCAAAGGTAGACCAACAATCAAAGTGAAACTCTTTCAGTTAAGAAGACAAAATGATCCAATCTGCAAAAAGCACCTGTTCATGAACTTCAACTCAACTTCATCAGCAGCCCCAAATATATATTTCCGGAAAAGCCTGAAATGCATTTCAGTAAAGCAAAACATCCATATGGTTGCCTCAAAACTAAAGATGAATCAAAAGACATAAAAGCAATTAAAACAATAGCAAGGAAGTCAACTATTGTTATGACATTAAAACTTGCAACTGGTTCACCCCTGTGAAATAGCAACTTTCAACTCTGAATAGCAGACATCAAAAAGATGGTAGAGTGCACCCTGTTTTTGTGTATCTGTGCATGGAGGAGCAAACTTATTTTATGATGTAGCACAGAGGAATGGTGTTTAGAAAGGAAAAAGAAATGAAAAGAAAAGAAAATTTCAATGCAAAATCATTGGGATTGGGCACAACTATAATCAAGGGTTGTCAAGCAGTCAATTCAAAGAGAAAATATCAACGGTCTTTGTAAAATAATACTGGATGACTATTTCAAAAAAAAAAGTAAAATAATACTGGATGAGCCATGTGTTTATAGGGTGTCAAAACATACTAATATGACTAGAATACTTGTATAAGAAAACAATAACAAAATAAGACTTCTAACCATATAAGAATCAAGTCCTAAAGTAATAATATACCTAATCTTAGTAGGTCCTAAACAAACAAAACATAACACCATCTTAAAACATGATAACCAATTCATTTATCTGGTTCTCACCCTTATTCAGGTTTTTGAGCACATTTCAGGATTAAAAATTTTACCTGGGTAAAAGCGGACTCATTGGGCTTAATGTGAGACCAATAGGGTGTAGCAAGAGGCCGATAGGATGTAGCAAGCTGGAGTAGCTTGTTGTTTTTTTTTTCTTTTGGGATAAGGAGTAGCCTCTTGGTTACCTAAGTGCTCCCATGGGAGGTAGCCTGAGAAGTAGGTCCTTTTGGGAAGGGTAGAAAACAAAATAGCAATGCAAGTAGAGAGTTGGAAAGGGGGCCTCTTCACTTTAGGGGGTAGGGTTACTCTTATCTAGGCATGCCCATCTAGCATAACACTCGATTCTTTATCTCCTCTTGAAATTGCTGGAGGGATAGCGGAGAGGATAGAGTGATATATGAAAAGGTTTCTTTAATGGGAGGTTAGAGAGGAAAACAGCAATTGTCTACTTAGTTGGTAGATGTCTTGTCAATCCAAGAGTTAAAGGGGATTGGGGATTAGAAATCTTAAATTAAAGAACATATCATATTGGCTAAATAATGTTGATGTTTTCCAAGGTAACCAAACTCTTTGTGAATAGGGTGATAGACAGCATCAATAGGAGTGAAAGGAACAACTGGGATGTCAAAGCAGAAAGCTATTTTTCTTACCAAAGTCCCTGGATATCCATCTCCCATAACACATTGTTCCTCCTCCATACCCTGATTCGAGTGGGAGATGGATCTAGTTTGAGGTTCTGGGAAGACCATTGGCTAAGAAAACCAGCTATTAGCCACTCAAAATTCCCCAGTTATATAAGCTGTCCTCTAGACACCATGCTCAAATATTAGCGTTCATGATAACAACTGAGGGAAGAATATTCTAGAACTTCACTTATGTCATAGCCTTTACACTTGTAAATCCCTTCTTGAGCTCCTCACCGAAAACCTAATAACTACTCATGCCTCAGTTGCCAAGGCATTTTGGAAGGCTCCTGTTCCTTCAAGGTGAAGATATCTACTTGGACAACTACATATTGAAAGTTGAATACGAATGACTTGCTCCAAATCTGTTGTCCTCACCAGATCTTTTCTCCATATGTATGTGCGATGTGTTCTAGAGGAGGACAAACACATCACCACTTGTTCTTACACTGTCATGTTGGTTTGAAGAAGTAGACAGATGTCCTTAGTCTGTTTGTAAGTACCTTTTATTAAGGGAGAATTCGTGTGAAAAGAAGCCATATTGTTATAATAAAGTGTTCACTTTGCAGGTTTATGGTGGATATGACTTGTGTGCAACTCTAGAATCTTCACCGATATACACACTCCATATTATGAGCTGTGGGAGAGAGCAACCTTTTTGGCATCTTCATGGGCTTTAGCACACAGTAATTTTTTTCCACCACTCACTTCCTTCCATATCCATATCTCCTCCCTTACACTATTTGCCATTGTCCAGCTGATTCCCAATAGTCCATATACCATACCCGATAATTTAAACGCTAGAGGACTTCATAGTAAAGTATGGTCGCAAGTCTCACCTGCTCTCTTATAAAAGGTAGCAACCATTCACCAAAACTTTTCCCCTTCTCATCAACTTGTTAATGGTCAAAATACATCAACATCCTACTTTCCAAGCAAAGAAAGTGATTCTTGGGTGAGCATTCACTTTCTATATCTGCTGGAATGGAGCTTATCCTCCAAAGAGTTGTTCTTAACCAAAAATTTATAGAATAATTCCACTGAAAAGGACCCATTTGGGTTGAGGGTCCAAATTGATTGATCACTACTCTCATCTAAAAGTACAGAAAACAGTGAACTCAAAAGAGATTCATAATTATATACTTTCCAATTATTAAGATTCCTTAGAACTTCCACGTGCTACTCTCTCCCACCCCCAAGAGAGACTAATTTTTGTGTTGGCAAAACTAGTATGTGGCTTGTATTCTCAAATGCTTCAGTTATGAGATTGGGACTTCGATTTGAGTGTTCTTAAGCCTCCAATCTTTGATCATAGTTGCCTACAATAATCTATCATTGAATTCAATGCTATTATACTATAAAGTGCTTTAAGTGGCACAATGAGTTTGTGATTACGGGTTTGCTTTGAGAACACCACTCTTCAAGTATAATTCAAAAACATCCCTAGTCTCTATATAGGCTTACGACTGAAGACAACACAAATCTAAAAAGACTAGTATACATTGTATCACCTATTGAAGGATGTCGATCTCAGACAACATCAATGAGATCAACAATTTGCTAAATGTGTAGGTGTTCGTTGGTCACAAGTTCAGTGGATTGACTCACATAGTTTCTTAAATCATATTAACATAAAGTGTAAATTATGAAACCATCATATTAATTGTATATCATCAATCCTTACACCTAATTTACTATTATGTTTTCTGCATTGAATAGTATATCTTTAGTCCAAGGTTTATTTCATGTTCACAAGACAAAATAGTTATTGGATGCTAAATGAAGTGTATGGATATGGAAAAGGACGTGCAAGGATCCATCACTCCTAATATCAACGAGAGAATATCCCATGAAATTGCTACAATCTTTATCTAGAATTTTTTTTTCCAAATAAGGATGATATTTATAAGGATTTCCTAAATGATCATAAAATGGATCAAGTAATGGAGCAATTACACATGGAGTTTGACAATAAGGGATTGACACTACAGTATGCCATTAGTTATTCTGAGATACAGCAACATGTAAAGTAACTGAACATGTTAAAATTTTTTTGAATTATGGATTGTTAAATTCACATCATCTAGGCGTCGTAATATGTAACCAAGTGCCAATCATGGTTATGGGTTTCCATGTAATCATACGAGGGAAAATCAAAGGTTTGATTTTATTGGAGGGGATAAAATGGTGATTTGATAACAAGAAAACCGTGTTGCTAACTTGATAATTGAACATAATGGATCACATACAATACAGTTGTAAATTGTGTATAATGTGCTTAATATTTAAATGCTCATCTGTATCTCGTCATTCTCTAAAAGATATAGCAGCTGCAGATCTGAATTAAGAACATAAACACTTCAGAAATCCATTCTTGTTGATTGATACTGGTAGGCAACATTAGAAGAGCTTTCATAAGACTAAAATTCAATTTTTTCCACAATACTACCAAATGAAGCCAACATTAAGAACTACATACAGGAATTATTATTATGCTTTTACAATCATCAAAATCATTTGAAACACATTTGATTAAAGTAAATGCAAGAATTATACACTTTTGCATCATTGAGGAAAACAGTACCTATCATCCCATCGTGCAAGATGGGAAGCTAGTTGTGCTATCAACTCATGGACAGTTTGCGGTACAAGATTACCCCCAGCAGTAAGCAGCTCCTGTAACAATTAGCAATCTATTGAATTCAATTACAGTACCTTCAAGGGTAGAAACTGAATTGCAAATGAACTTACAGGTAAAAACAGACAGAAACTGAAATTTGCAAAATTTGCATTGACAGCCACAAACCTGCACTTCTGTGATACCTAAAACATTAACATTTGATGCAAACCCTTTAACATGAAGGGCAGTTACTAAGAAATTCTGTGTCTGCCATGATCTTAGAACAATTGGTAGATCATCTTCATTGACAAAAGGATCGCCCACTGATTGACCTAATAGCTCAAATAACAGCCCACCAGCAACTCTGACAGGAACCTGCCAATTAATAAGGAAAAGATACAACTGCATTAGGTCAGCTGAAGAAATATTTATAAAGACTGCAATGAGCCAACCCTAGATAAAGAATTAATAAGGAAATAAGACATCATTTGAGCCATGTCCAAATATTTCTTTTTCAAAATTAACATATTTAACTCGTAATATACTTATTTCTTTTTGTAAATTTACATCAAAATTTCCATTTCTAGATAAATCATGTGGTAAAAAGTGTTTTAGATACTACCAATATAAAATAAAAAAATTTTACGATCTATATTGAAATTGAAAAAAAAAAAGGAATTTCTCCAATTACCAAAGCAATCTTGTGGTAGAAAATTAAGCATGACTCCAAAACAAGGGTTTGCAAAGCAAATGTTTGAAGATAAACAATTTTCCAAAAGGTTTTTTTTTGGATAAATTCATTATAAAATATATGATTGGGTTGGTGTTGTGAATCTTGTGAATCTTTAGATAAATTCATTACAAAATATAGGATTTATCTCTCTCTCTCTCTCTCTCTCTCTCTTTCTCCTTCTAAACCCTAACCCGTGTTCGGAATCTGTCGGCTGTCTAGGCCAACCACTACCCAAATATATCCATGAGCTCATATGGACGAAGGTTTCTCTATATTGAAGATAAATCCTTTGACTTATGCTGTGAAGGAAAGAAGGCGGAAGGATTGCGGATCATGGAGAACGGGCATGAGTTTCGAAGGTCGATCTTCTTAGATTAAGGAGGAATATGGTTGGTTTCTTGATGCGCTTGATGATTTTTGGTGGAAATGTAGACCGGACATATAGGCGAAGCACTTGGTGAGGAGGAACTACGAATTATGGATATCGTATGGATCAAACCAACGAGGGGAATATCTAAACCTGACCGTAAAGGAGATCGAAGAGTCAAGAGGATCTTCTTTTCGAGTGGAATGCAGGAGAGTGGGTGGTAGAAGCTAATGGTGGCAACGTATGAATTGGCAGATAGACTGGTAAAATCTCCTAAGCTTTATAAAGAAGGGGGAAGGAATAAAACGAAGCTACCAAAGGAAAATGTGAATAAGATGAAGTTTCCTTAGAAAGCCTCCTTCCATTGTCCGCATTGTAACACCCCGATCAACGTTAATGTCGTGATGGATTTTGAGGGCACGAAGAGTTACGCGGCAACGGTTCAAGCTGTTGATGGTAATGCATTTCGAGTAGGGCAAAGGCAATCCGAACGTGCTTCAAATCAGGTTGGCCCGAATAGGCATTACAGGTGAGGCAAAGAGCCCACAAACGGAGGCCAAAACGAAAATCTCAAATGTCATTTTGTTAAAAGGGGGGATAAGGCTGTCGTCTTGTTGGGCCGACCTCAGATTGACAAAAAAGATGGGTCAAGCGAAAAGAAAGGGTATACATGGAGAGAAAAAGAGAAATGGAAAATGAAGAAAGATGCTGATGGGAGCCTTATTTTAATCCCGGATCCGAATTGCTCTGTTAACCCGACCCAAGGTGGAACATCTTGCACTAAGGAAGTGGGATCTTTTTTACTCGAGGGTTCGAACGAAAATAGAGAAAAGGGAAGTGCAGAACTAGGTGTTTGTCGAAGAGAAAATGGCTGAAGAGAAAGTGGAAAGGGAGTCAGATGCTGAGTGTTTGGCGATGAGAGAAAGAGAGAAGAAGATGACATCTATTCAGTTTTCTCCACAATGGAGGACTTCGAAGGAGAAGGAAGGACTGACTTGGATTTTCCCGGTATGGAAAAGGAAGACATAATGGAGAACTATGACTTAATGGTGTTAGAGTCTGATGTTCTGGCTCTAGACACAACTCATGATGCGGAAATTGAAGAAATTCTCCAACTGAGTCTGGAGGGAGTCAACAAATCAACCCGTGAGGTGAAATACTGCTCTCAGTGTGTCATAAACAATGGCAACAAGTTCAGCAAAAAGATGGACGTTCTTTAAAATGTATGAAAAATTTATCGTATTTTTTTTCTCTGTAATTGAAAAAAGGGAAGTGCTTATGAGTAAAACAGAATCAGCTTTAAAAGAGAAGAAGAAAGTGAGCTGTGGTACCCTAAGGGAGCTTAAAAGGCTGGAATCATCTATTAGCTATGATGGAAAGAAAAAAGAGAGCAAGGCAGCTAGTGGGATTAGGATGCTATGTGAATGATCGGGAAAATCGTATCTTCAAATATCTGTAGGGTGAATAATAGAGGTAAAAAGCTTGTTATTAAAGGGTGTATTAAGAAATGAAAGTCTGCCATTGTGTGCCTGTAAGAAACGAAAATTGATGATTATTCCTCAATAAAAACAAACAGTTTATGGTGTGAGAACAACTGGGATTGGCATGCAATTCATGCGAAAGGTTCTGCTGGGGGGATGATCATATTCTGGAAGGAGGATTGGGTGAACTGTCTGGATGTCATCAAAGGCGAATGTACCATATCATGTATTTTTTAAAAATTGTAAGGGGGACACAGAGTGGATGTTCATCGGGGTCTATTATAGAGGCAACAAAGTGGAGAAAACTATTCTTTGGGATGTATTGGAGAAATGCAGAATTAAGTGGGGTGGCAGGTGGATTATAGGTGGTGATTT